TCCGATCACAGGAGAAACTGCCTTGTCAGGCCATGGCAGACACCAGGCCCAGACACCCAGACTGCCTGAGCATGTAATAGAATGCCCTGATTCCCACAAGGCGTTTGGGAAACATTGACTCAGGCTCTGTAATTCTTCTTGAGCATCAGCTGAGAACCTGCTGGGTGCTGGGCATGGGATGTGCTTTGGTACAAGTTATCCCAGTGAATCTTCCCAGCAACTTTCAGAAGCAAAAAACCTTCCTTCACTTTGCCAGACGAGGCAGCGGGGGTGGCCGGGGCGGGGAGAGCGGGCGGCGAGGGGCCGATGGATTAGGCTCTGCCTCCCCTCTGTCAGTGGTGAGGGAGGCAGCAGAGTTTGAGGCAGGTGCCCTCGTACCCCTTCATCTCTCCACCACGAAGCACAGGCTTCTTCTTGGTCCCTATAGCTCCTAGCTTTGAGAAGGGGACCCCTGGGATCCCTTCAACTCACAGATTTGCTCTCGAGCTCCATTGCAGGGTCTTCCCCCTTGGATTTATTTCCACCTGGCCCAGGCAAGGGGAGACAGCTTTGGACTGGGTGGCCCAGAATTACACACAGTTGGGCCACCATGTCACCCAGGGACCCCGGCCAGGTCCTTCTCCCTCCTGTGGTCTCAGTTTCCTCATGTTCTCAATGTTGAGGGTGGGCCCACTTTCTATTTGCAATAGTTGGTTTTAGCCCTGGCCAACTTCTCCCGTGTGGCAGCCGTTCACGGCTGCAGAGAATGACTTTCCCTCTGTGGGCTTTGTAGAAAGTTCCTTGGGAATTGAGATTCAGCCTTCCCCCTTCCCCAGTCACCAGCCCCTGATTTACAATCCAGATAAATTGTGTTCTCTTTGTGACTTGAGTCGAGTGGAGGATGATGGAGCAGGAGCCCCTTCCCCGGCTGTCACAAGATAAAACCGCTGGCTGAATGGGCTCTCGTATGACTCTTTGAAGGTGGCTTCAAGCCAAGAGGGGACCTGTGGGCCTTTGTCCCTTGAGGGGTGTCCCCTCCCCTTCCACAGCTTACACATTTCCACCGGCCTCGCTGCTCTCTTTCCGTGTGGATGTTCCGCTGGCTCTCCTGTGTCTTTTTAAGCCACCAATTCTCCTTGGGGGAAGGGCTCAGGCTGGGTCCACTTTGCTTTCAAATCCAGACTTAGGCATATTTATCAAGGGTCGACCATGCGCCGGGCCTGGGGTCAGCCCTCCTCACACTTTGTCTCTCTCTCTTTTTAAATCTCTCTCTTTTCACCATGAGGTTAGTTTTATCATCCATTTTACCAGAGAAGACACTGAGGCCAGTGGAGTGAAAGGAGCAGCTGGGGGCTGTGAGCTGGTGTGAGATGGAGCTGAGGCTGAGAGCAGATCTGCTGCCTTCTTCCCTTGTCATTTTGTAATTTCCTTGTACAGTGTTACCATGTTAAAACAGTGAGGGCCTGAAATGGCCTCCACGGGTGTCTGGTGGACCGCAAACTTCTTTTCAACCCCCATGGCTGAGATATCTTTTCTCAGTTCTCAGCCATTAGGAAGGTGACACTCCCAAAAAGGGACTGCAGGGAAAATGGTCCACTGTGATGGCACCAAAGCCACCCACTGCCCGAGTCTGAAGGACCCATAGTTAGGTGGAGTGTTTCATTCTGGCTATAGTGCTCACAGAATGTTCCGGAAACAGTAGAGTCTGAGTCTGGCCGGCCTGCCTGTCTGAATTTCAAACCTGGCCCTGCACATATAATTGTGGGATTCTGGGCAAGTAAATCTCTCTGTGCTTCAGTTTCCTCATCTGTCCAGCAAGGTTAATAATAGCGCCTACTCTGTAGGGTTGTTTTAAGGATTAAATAAACTTATATGCATAAAATGTGTGGCACTGGTCCTGGCACATTGTAGGTATTTGTCAGCAATAGTCATAGTGCACTGGTCTGGGAGGGGGCTGAGCGATTATTCTGGCTTTTTTTCCTCCTGCTGTGAGTCCCAGGGCCTGGGGCCCAGATGAGGAGCTGCAGCCTAGGGGTCCTGCTTGTCTGGTCCTTCCCTTCCTCTCAGCTGTGCACGGCTGCCCCTGGTGGGTACTTGGGGAGCAAGGAGAACCATTTCTGTGTCCTTGGTTCCTGGGAACTAGCTGGGGCATACACGTCAGGCTCTGAAGATTCCAAGACTGTGTTAGTCAAATCTGGTGCTCCACCCGGCTCTGGCTGCAATGGACTCCAAATGCTGCACAGAGGCCTTGGTGCTTAGGAGCCGCTGGGGCACCTGTGGCCCTGCCTCAGGCCTGGGTACTGTTACTTGAGCCAACATGAAATGTGGCCTGAGAATCCTAGGAAATGGGCTGAGGCCCACAGAGCTCCCACTCCTGGCCTGGCCTCTGACAGGTGGTGATGTGGTACTCCCTGGGCAGCTACTAGCCCAAGTGGCAGTGCAGAAATTTATTTTGGAAGCCCCTAACCTGGTATGACAAGCCTTCCTTCCTCGTAGTCAGAACTGAGCTCTAGATAGGCAGGTTGGGCAGGACATAAAGGGCAGCATCCAGCCCAGCTTACATGGCCTCCTCCATTGACCTGCCTTGCTCCCCTTCCTCCCGGCCTTTAACCAGCCATTCCTGAACCGATTCAGTGTGGCAGGTGCAGGTGGGTGCTGTGGCAAAGCCAGTACAGCCCCTGACCCGTGGTTCTTCTTCTTGTGGGGGAGGCACTAGCCATGTAGGATGCAGTGTGATATGGGCTGCAAGTAGGGAAATACAGGCTTCTACATGAGCCTAGCCTAGGCTGAGTATGTGTATGGGGTACCTAAAAGGACTTTCTAGGGGACATGTGGAAGCTGAGATATGATGGACAAACTAGGCGTCAGTCTCCTCATGGGCGAAATAGAGAGTGTTGCAGGCAAAGACAGTGGTGTCTGCAAAGCCAAAGATTTGGAGGTGGGGAGAGGGGAGGGGAAGGGAGAGGGAAGAAGAAGAGGGAGAAGGAGGTAGAAAGAAGGAGGAGGAGCGAGTAGCAGCAGCGGCGGCAGGAGCAGGTAGTTCTGTCTGGCTGGGCATCTTGTGTGAGGTCACAGTGGCGCCGCTGCGCTGGAGAGGTGGTCAGGACCAGGTAAGAAGGTCTTGGTAGCCACACTATGGAGTTCAGACTCTGCACTGAGAAGAATGGAGGCCTCAGGGGTTTGTGGCAGATGAGTTTATTCTCGCTTTAGGAAGACCAATCCAGCTTCATTTCCGTGGGCAATGGTGAAGGGGAGGAGGCAAGCTTGGATGCAAGGGGGTGTCCCAGAGCTGCTGTTGTCATCCAGGCAGGAGGGGATGGTGGCTTGGCCCAGGATGGTGGCTGTAGGGATAGAGGGGGACGGACAGATTTAAGAGTCATTTAGTGCTTTATGATTGAGTGAATGTGTTAGCAACTGACAGGAAGAGGGGAGGCTCAAGAATAACACCTCTCTGCAACATTCCTGCGAAAGTTTGCACAGCCTCTTCTTGCATACTTCCCGTAACAGGCACCTCATCACCCAGTTTTTAGCAAGGTAGTACTCACTTACTTCAGTTTAAATCTGTCTACCTGAGGATCTTAAGGCTGCAGAACCAAACCTGAACTGTATTCTGCAGCAACTTTCCAGGAGTTTGAAGGTGGTGTTGTCGCAGGGACTCTCCTTTTCTCTGCCTTCATCATTTGTATTGTTGTCAGTACGTGAATGTCCTAAGGTTTCTTCATCTAACTTGGAAATTTTATTCTATGCTATTGTATTTTATTTTTTGGTAAAAAAGAATATCAAATAATGACTTTACAGAGAGAGCCACACCATCCTGTGGAGTGGAGTAGCCCCGTCACCCTGCTCAGCACATTTTCTCTGGTAGATGATTCCAGGAGGAAGTCAAATTCTAACTGGCGGTTACTTGGCATGTGTGAGAGGAGAGCCAAGGCAGTCAGCTGACTGATGTCAAGATGCTCAGAACGTAAGGAATTTGCCCAAAGTCGCACAGTAATGAAAGTGGCACAGGAACTCAAGTCCAGGTCTGTCTGGCGGCAGACGCTGAGTCCACGACCTGGTTCCTCTCCTGCTCCTCTGCAGCAAGTGACAGAGAGGGGCAGGCAGGAGACCAGGTAGGAGGCAGATGCAGAAATCCAGAAGAGAGCCACGAGGCAGGAGTGGGGAGGGGAAGACTCTGGGGGTAGGTCTGACTTGGGTGACTTTCATGGGATTGGCTTAGCGGGCAGAGGTTTTGGGGAGCCATCAAGGACCCCAGGTCACTGGCTCCACTACTGGGGGGTGGTGGTGTTCTTTGTTCCCCTGGGAGGTGTCCAGCAGGAGCCAGTCAGAGTGGTGGCAGGAGGCCATGGTGAGCCTGGATGGGACATGGAGTGTTGGAGGTGGCAGAGCAGACAGCGGCTCTGTGCTGAGAAGCATCCCTGTCATTCCTGTCTCCTCAGTGACTCTGAGGGCAGAACCCTTCTGGTCAGCTCTGTGGCTGGCCATGTGCCAGGCCCAGGACAAAGAATCCTGGCCACTCTGGCACAGGGCTGCTCTCTGTGGGGGCCGCTCGCCAGCACAGCCGAGTGGCTGCTCGTCCCCACTCGAGACTGACTGCCTCTCACCACTCAGCAGGGCCAGGCCATGGTCCCCAGAGCCTTGCTTCCAGGAATCTCCTTGCTGCCGGTTACCAGGACACCCGCGACATCTGGGGACGGCGGAGCTGTCCCTCTGGAGTCAGGCTGGCTGATCTGGAAGAACGTGGGTCAGAACAAGCCCAGAGAAGTTCAGGGCTCAGACAGCTCATTGCAGCCTTGTAAGGAGGCAGCTGAGCAGTGCCGAATGCTGTCGGAGGCCAGAACACACTGCACTCAGACACTCTAATCAATATTGGCTGATGCTCCTGTCTGGAGGTGGCCCTGACAGCTGTGTGACCTTAGAGCTCTCTGAGCCTCTGTCTCCCCCTGGGCACAGAAAGAAGTAATCACCTCTCCTGCCTTTTCCCTCCTGCCCTCTTCACAGAGTCGTCGTCAAGAGCAAATGAGGTAATAAAGGCGGAAGCGCATTCTCAACTCCACTGCAACGCTGTGTGGGAGGCCAGTCAACCCAACTCATGTGAACACGCACACACAAACACACACACACGCCAGACGGAGAGAGATGAAGTAAGTCTGGAGAACATGTCCAGAGAGGGAGAGAGATCCTGGCACCCGCTCACCTAGTCAGAGAGAGCAGGAGACAGAGAGATAGAGACCCAGGGAGATAGATACACACAGAGAGAAGGGAAGACACAGACAAAGATACACACAAAGATAAAGAGAGAAAGAGAAAGACATTTAGACTCATGGCTAGACAGAGAGACACACAGAGAAAAAGAGAGAGAGAGAGAGAAATGAGGAGAAAGAGGGAAACAGACAGTGAGAAACACTGAGAAAGAAGATATTTGGGGCAAGGAAGAGAGGCAGGGAGAATTGGGGAAATCAAGAGGCACTGAAAAATAGGGCAGAAGAGTGAGTGAGTGAGCAGAGGAGGGGGTGAGCCAGGTCAGGGGCTGGTCACAGAGGGACAGAGTAGGGGATTCAGGACAGGGCCAGAAGTAGGAAAGGGGTCGGGACTGAGAGCCTGGCTGGCCCAAGCTTCTGAATGGGCTTCTGCAGCCTCTGGTCCTGGCCCTTCTCCTGGTCAGCATGCTCAGAGCATGAGACCAGGTGTCCTGAGGCTACCTAAAGGTGGGGAAGTCTTGCCGTGCCCCTGAGACTGCCATAGCCAGTGGACACACCAAAGTTGTGCCCCCAGAGAGGCCCAGTGAGGAGAACTGAGCTTCCAAGTGAAGTGACAGGCTGACCAGCACTGGTGGACATTGCTCAGAGTGGGTCTGACGGCAGGAGTCTGGGCATTGGCCTGTTCCTGCATCGTATCTGACGAGTGGCCTGATACAACGTTCTCCTTTCTAGGCCTCAATATCCCCTCTGCACAATGGGTGCTATCTCAGGACTCTGACACTGAGTTCAGAGACCCAGGCAGCCTGGCATCGTGCCCTGTCCCCTTGAATGAAGGCAGGAACACCCTTTTCCCACTTTGCAATGATTATTTTAAAACTGAGTTTGCTTGTCTTTCCAGTTCCTGATTTCTGTGCTCGTGGTCTTTGTCCACCAGCCCCTCCAACCTCTTGATGTGGTATCTCCACTCCACGTTTGGCCCGGGAAAGGCTGGGACCGTTGGTGGCCTCCAAGGAGCAGCATCACATTACACGCAGCTGGACCAGGCCCCAGGACAGCTAAATGGCTGTCATCTGGGCCCTGAGGCACCGGAGGGAGGAGTTCAGGGCACAAGGAGACCCATGTAAAGCGTTTTCTGTTAAAGGAGGCCCTTGCTTAGCGAAGAATCCACATCAAGGATCCAGAATTGGCTGGTGCTCTGGGCAAAGGTCAGGAGAAGGGAGTGGGAGTGGAGTGGAGTGAAGTCACAGTGCCCTCTCTTCCTTCAGCTGGAGCCCCCTCCCTGTCCAGGTTGTGGCCATGGTGGGAAAGCCTGGAGAGACGTGCCACTCTTTTCACCCATCCCTGCCCAGGCTCCAGGGGCCCCCAGATGTGGTAGCCAGCAGCCCTGCTGGCTGGAGTAACCTGGGGCCTCTTGGGGATAGGAGTCAAGCTACACTTTTGGCTTTGAAGGAAGGAGAACATCCTCTTCAACAGAGGGTGCAGAGGTCACATCTCCTGCCCAAAGTCAGGCTGCTGGGCAATCTTTTCTAGCACCAGGGTGGAAATGCTGACTTCTGACTTGAGAATATTGGGGACAGTGGCCTGCTCCCAGGGCCTGTTTAAACAAGATGGGAAGCCCTTCCCGAGGAGTGATATACTGAGATACAGGGTGCAGCAAGTTCTTGGAGCAGAGTTGAAGGGGGTGATGGTGGTGATGATAGTGGTGGTGACAATACCAATGATAATGATCATGATTGTGGTAACGATGATGGTTATGATGGTGAAATGGTGACTGGTCTTCAGCCCAAGATCCGACTCAAAAAAGCGGGAGGAGCCTGAGTCAACCTTTGTTGAATTCCTCTCCCTAGTACAAGGCCTTGCACTTAGCAGGTGCACAGTAAATATTTGTGAAATGTGAATGAAGTCACCCACCATGCTGAGAGTCTAGACATGGCACCAAAGGTGGGAAGCTCAGGCAGTTGGAGTCAGCACTGTGACTTAGGCTTCTGGGTGCCAAGACCTTCTGCTGCCTTCTGCAGCCCCCTCCCCAGGTGTGACTTGGGAGGGTTGTAAGGATAGTTGTGTTTGAGGAGGAACCAGGGGAGATAAGAAACTTTCTTTTCTCCATGGAGTGGCCTCCATGGCCTCTCCTACCTTCTGGAGTTGGGCACTAGGGAAGTGACTGAATTGGACCTGGGCTGGGCTCTGTATAAAAGATACTGGGCCTGTTATTGGCACAGTCAGGGAAGAAGTCCTTCCTCATTTCCTTTGCCTCCATTCTTGCCAACTCTCTTTCTCATTCCCTATTTATCAAACCTTTCTCAGGCTTCTGCCCTGTGCCAGGCCAGTGCTGGGATGGAACAGTGGAAAGGCTGATACCAAAGAGAGAAATGCAGTCCATGGGTCACAGGAGGTCACTGACTAGTGAGAAAGTGACCATAATGATAGGATTGTCAGTTGCTGTCAACATGACTAGATACTCGGGTGGGAGTGAGGACAAGGGCTTTGAACCCATGTGGAAAGACTGATCCTTTCTTTCCAGAGGCAGGGAATTGGATTTGGGTCTTGAGGGATTAGCAGGATGCAGGAGTCAGAGAAGGGGATGGGATTTCAGGCTGAGGGAAGAGCATGTTCCAGAACAAAGGTAGAAAGGTATGGGATGCTCACAAAAGTGTTTGGTGGGGCTGAGCCTTGTGTTGTTGGGTTACAGGATGGGCTTGGTGGGAGATGGGGTTAGAGTCAGATTGTGAATGACCAAATGCTAAGGTGTTTGAACTGTGTTCTGAGGGGAGTGGGAAGTTACAGACCATGATGGTCATGATCCTATCTGTGATTCAGGAAGAACATCCATGCCAGGTAGAGGGTTGGTCAGCAAGGGCATATTTAGAGAATGGGAGACCTGGGAGGGGGCAAGGATAATGATGATATTGATGATAATAGTGGTGATGGTGGTGAAAATGGTGGATGAGGTTGCTATGATGATGGTGAGATGATGAAAGTGGTGGCGATGATCATGATGGTTGTGGTGATGACGATAGTGGAGAAGATGATGGCTATAATGGTGGTGATGATGATGGTGGTGGCAATGATGATGATGGTGGTGATGAGGATGATGATGACAGTGATGAAGGTGGTTATGAAGATGGTGAGACGGTAATGGTGGTGGTAATGATGATGGTTGATGGTGATGATGATGGTGATGGTGGTGACGATGGTGAGCCCTGACCAGGACAACAGAAGTGAGATGAAGAGGTAGGGTTGATTTAAGAGCATTTGATGATAGGATAGATTTGGATAGGGGGAGGTATGAGGGAGAGAGATGATCAGAGTTTCTGGTTTGGGTGCTAGAGTGGCCAGGGACCCTCATCCTGAGATGGGAACCCAAGTAGGAGTTGGTTTACATGGGCAAGAGGTGTTTTTCTTCTTGGGCAAGTCATGTGTGAGATGCCTGGGACCTCTAGGAGAGGTGTCCAGTGAGCAGGGAGCACTCAAGTGTGGAGCTCAGTAAGACAAAGATTTGAAAGTCGTTGGCAAAGCAGCGGGTCTATGTGCTGTGGGGGCCTGCACACCCTAGAGAGTGCATGGAGGAATAGGAGCAGGACTCAGGATCCTCATGACTACCTGGCATTTGAGAGGTGTACAGAAGAGGCAGAACTGGGGATGGGGATTACAAAGAAAGCCAAAGGCCCAAGGAAGAGCCCAGGAGCTGCCTGTGGCTGGTGATGGGCACTGGGGTGAAGCTTTGCTCGCCATCCACCTCCCCCGAAGAGTTACCACTGATTGTTGACATGCCAGCTTCTAAGTAAGATGACTTTTGAAAATAGAGCTCTATGCAAAAAAATCCCTTCCTAATACAGATAGGGAAACTGAGGTTCAGAGAGAAGAAGGGACATGCCTAAGTGACCCATTGTGGTGGCAGATTCAGACCCCCTGCTACCAGCCCAGTGTTCTGCTGTGTGACACACTACTCCCCATACTCTTGGGGAGATGGGGGTGGGGCCTGAGAGAGCTTACCATGGGGGTGCCCTTCTCTTCTCTACCTCAACAAGCCTTACACAGCCTCCGAGGCTGTTCAGAGAGGGGTCTCAGGTGGGCAAGCCCCAAGGGGTGAGTATGGAGTGGGTGTGAGGAAACTCCCCCAGCACCCTGAACATTGCCTGAACCTGGGTGGTTGGTCCAGCCCAGACATGGCACCCATCAGTGCACCATGGGGCCCACCCAGGCTTGGCTGGCAATGGCAGCCTGGCCTGTCCTGCCCTCTCCTGCTGCAGGCCCTCACACCAGGCTGGAATGTCCTCAGGAAGCAGGTTACCTCTCTCCAGGGGATGCTTCTGGATTCCCATTTGCAGCTCCAGCCAACATGTTTTGCAATGAGCTTAGAGAAAGCATTCATTACGGGAAGAATTGGGGAGTGGAACGCTCACTGCCAGCAGGGGTATGGGTGAGGGTGCACAGGGCTGCGGGCTGGGCTGGGCTGGGTGAGGTGGGGGTGGGGGCGGGGCTGGTTGCCTGACTGGCCCATTCCTCAGCCCTCAGGGACTTTGGCCTCTGGGCTGTTTTGTCTGTCTGCTTGTCCATCTGGATTAGAGAGGCTGGCTGGCTCACGCTGGCTCCCCAGACTCTGCCTACTATAAGGCAGCTTGAGCTTTGTTTTATTTTATTTTTGAAAATTTTGGAATATGACTCAAAAGTGATTACTAAATGAAAAGGTATACTCACCCCAAACCCTGCTCCTTCTCCCCATGCCCCCTTGCCCTCATAAGTAAACTTTTTCCCCCTGATTTTGTTTTTTCATCCCGTGTTTCTATTGCAAACATAAGCATCTGCACAGCTCCGTCTGGCTTGCCCTCATTTCTTCCCCAGCAGAAGCAGTTTATGTGCATTGCTCTGCACCCTGTTCTTTTCCATTGGACAATATACCTAGAGGTCACTCCCCGCTGGTCACACGGAGGTATGCACGGTACTCTGTCGGGAGGGGCTGTGCCCTAGTTGTTTCAAGCATCCGAGTTTCCAAGACTAGGCATCCAGGAATATGACGCTGATTCCCCAGCTGGGCTTTCTTTGTATTTGTTTTCCAGAAACCCCAGCCACAGGTGTGAGAGTCTTCCTTCCTTTAGTATAGACCTGCGAATGCCAGGTGCTTCCCAGGGTCTCCAAGCTCATTCCCTCCTTCCCATGTGGGTGGCATTACTGTTCACGTTTTGCAGGGGAGAACACTGAGGAATTGAGAGGTGAAATAATACACCTACAGGAATAACTAGTGGGTGTGAGGTCTGGGGTTTGAACCCAGAGCAGTTTGGGTCTAGAATCCTTCCTCTTCTTGATGTCACACTGCTGGAGAACAGGGAGCTACCCATTCCTAGGTCTTCCGCGGCCAGGTCAGCTCCTGAGCCCAGAGAGGGGCAGTGATTTGGTCAAGGTCACACAGCTGCACGCCAGCAGCTTCCTGACTAGGGGAGCCCCTAGCTTTCCGTTCCTGGAGGTAACCTTTGTTGTAGAGGAGATCATGACATGGTCGGGACCAGAGAACTGCATGTGTCTTACAGAATCACCCACTGCCTGTAGTTGCTTTTCCTGAACTGGTGCCAGTGGGCGCCTGCCAACCTGCAATGCACCACCCACCAAGAGGGGTCCTGCTTCAAGGGAGTTTGGGAAACACTGCACATGGAATCTCCCTTTGTGGACATCATAATGCTTATTGGTATTATAAAGATGCTGTAAAACCTGCAGTAAACTAATAATTTTAATTTGGTTTAACCCAGCATTTCCCAAATGCCCTCGTCTTTTGCATATGCGTGCTCTGAATCTCTGTGGCGTGCACTCTGATGAGCACAGATCCATGGAATCAATAGTATGGAAATCAACAGAACCATGCATCTCCTGGTCACCTTCTGAGTCAGGCAAATGAAATGTCATAAAGCAGGGTTTCTCAAATAGCAGTGCACATACATGTTACACGGGGGCTTGTGAAAATGTAGATTCCAAATTGGCAGGTCTGGGTGGGGCCTGAGGTCTTGCATTTGTAACAGGCTCTCAGATGATGCCTGTGCTGCTGGTCTGGGGACCACACTCTGAGAGGTAGGATTATAGAGAACCCTCTGCTACAATGGAATTTCACCTGTGTCCATCCTTTCACCATCTGGGGACTAGCCGGCACCTACAGCTGTTGCTGAATCAGGCCATTAGACCATCAACAGGGAGGTGAACTTGTCTTTCCACGCTGGAC